TTCAAGGAAGATTTATGGAAACATTTTCTGAGCCCTTGCATATTTAGTAACATATCTGTGGACCTTCAGACGTTTTAAAAAATTGAGTATAAAATTAAATTTTGACTCAGTTTCTCTCTGAAAACTCTGAAACTTTCTTCATTGTTTTTTGCCATTTAGTGTGCAAAGAAATCCCAAGTCAACCTTTGTTGCGTTTTATTCTCTGCAGGCTATTTGGTTTTCCTACTTGTATGGTTTTAGATGTTTTGCTTTATCTATGTAATTAAGATTTAGCTAAGATTTTTTAAGATATAGTGCATTATTGACTGACATTCATTGATTATTGCCTGACATATGATGATCCAAAAGTTGAGCTTTTCATTAAATTCAAGAAAATTTTCTTCAGCTTTGTTTTTACTTACTGATTCTTTCCATTTCTTATTTTATCCTTAGGAACAACTGTATTTTTTAGCTTAGAGCTCCTTTCTTTGTCTTCTAGTTTCATTATATTTCTGAAAGTTTTCATTTCTAACTTTATTTTTCATCTGGGATGTCATTTAAAGTTTGTATTCTGTATCACTGAGTTAAATTTGTCATAATGTTTTTACCCTTGTTTCTCTCAGTGTGATTTTAATTCTAAATTATTTTTCATGTTTTCATCTTGATCTGTCCTCTTTCTATTTCAAATATAAGAAACCTTATAGTCTACTGATGTCAAGTAGTTCTCTAAAATTTTGTTCATAATTCCTATTTTTATATGGCATTCTTCTCTTTGAATCATCAAAATGCTGTTCTCCAGGAGTGTCTGCCAAAAGATAATGGATGTACATTGTCCACAGCCCCACATTTTTCTTATCTTGGAGAGTTAATGGGTCATCTCTGATCTGTAGCTGTACACATTCTTATATACCTCTCTGACCTCAGTTTCCAGTATCTTTAGTGGAGTGTTCTTCTATTGCCTGGTTGTGTGCTATTCTAAATGGGTGAGCGTATAGAAAAACAATAGCTTCAGATATTCACTGTTAGTTGAGATCCTTAACACCTTGTCCCATAGTCAGTGTATTACATGGGGTGTCTCCCCTTTTCCCTCCTTTCCTGTCTGGATGCAGTTCACCACTACCAACTCTTCTTTACTTCTTGCCAAGTTTTCATCTGGGAAACTTAGTCTCTGACTAGATCAAGAAATAGTAGTAATGGGGGTGAAAGGGACAGCAGGATATATCACTGGCTGCAGCCTCAAAAACAGCACTCAAACAATAAAGAAACAGCTGCACGATTTTCTCTTAATACCTGGGCTTTCTGCTAGTGTGTTTCTGAACCAGAAGAAAATAGATTGTAAGAGAGGAGCCCTCTCTTTACCTACTTGCATGTGGCTTTCTCTCTCTCTCACAGAGTAACTGGTTGGTATTTTTCTTTTCTGTTGTAGTACCTTAATCTATTCATTCATTCTTTCAGCCAATACTTCTTATTATGTGCCAGGCATTTTGCTAGGTACTGGTTATATATAATGTTGAATAAAACAGAGTGTTTCTTCCTTCATTGATGGCAGAAATAGTTTCTGGATTCTGTCAGTTACACATTTTGGTAATGGTGTGATGCTTTATTTCCCTCTTTTTTCTAAATAAATATTTTCTGGCAAGTTGAAAAAGGCTGTATTAATAACTACAGTCAAGATACCAGTTTAACTTCTTTCTCCATATGAAAATTTTAAAATTGTTCTAAATCCAGGAATAATTTTATGAATACAGTTTTCACTATCCTAACCTTTTTTTAAGTTTTATTTTTAATTGACAAATAATTATATGTATTTGTGAGGTATAGTGTGATGTTTTGATAAATGTATAGGAATAATCAAATCAGGCTAACATATCTGTAATCTCAAAAATTTATTATTTTTTTATCATGAGAACATCTAAAGTTTTTTTAGTTACTTTGAAATATGCAATACAGGCAATCCCTGGGTTATGGATGACTCAACTTACAGTGTTCTATACTTATGAACGGGCTCCCAAGGCTCCCCATAAGGATAATTTATAATTAACACATTAACTACTACATAAACTCACGAGTTTTGAGCCCGGGGCCTCGTAAAGCATATGTAACTCATGTCTCCGCACCTTGGGAGCCGTGAGAACTATTTTTCAAGTTGCATATAATTCACAAACACAAAACAATAAAAAATAACAAATTTTTCATAAAATTAGAAAGGATCATTTTGTTTTTGAAGTTTTTATTCTATTATTGTAATAAAACACCGTGGCCCCAAAGAAAAAAATTTTTTTTCTAGTGTGGCAGTTGATGTGTTAAATTAATAATTTAGGAACTAGTTTCTTCCACGCACGTAGACATACCTGCATGGTGTGAGCAGTAACGGCTAGTCTCATTGCTTCTACAGTCCCTTATGCACAGCATCACTTTTGTCTTAACTTTTTTATTTGGTTTTGTGAATGTGTATTTACCCTTATGACCATGCCTCCAAAGTGAAAGTCCGCTACTAGTTTTGGTGAGCCTGCACCTGAGAGGAAGGTTATGACAATGGAAGGAAAAGTAGAAATACGCATTCAGAGAGAGGCCAAATACCGTAATTCATTGGGAGAGCATTAGGCTTCGGTGGCTTCACTGTGGGAACAATTATAAAGTGAGAATAATGGAACACGTGAAAGGCAGTGCTCCAATGAAAGCATCAGTCATTACTAAGCAGCGTAGTAGATTAATTCTTGAAATGGAAAGATTATTATTGATTTGGTTAGAGATCAAAATATGCATGACATTCATTTTAGCCTAGCATTGATGGAACATTAGGTGAGCGTTAACCTTTAATATTCTTTTTTGAAATTTCTCCTGTCTAAACTTTTTGTTATGAGTTTGGTTTTATGTTTTGTTTGTTTGAATTAAAAAAAAGAGCACAATAGATTCTGTAACTTATCATTACAGTACAAGAGTATTATTATTATTACAGTATTACATATATTACTATTACCACATATGAGCCATTATAGTATTGTTGTTGTTATTATTATTATTATTATTATTACTGTAGATGCACTGTTCATCAGGGATCTGAGTTACATAGAAATCCGACCTAAAGATATTCTCTGGAACATATCCATAACCTAGAGACTGCCTGTACATTATTATTAACTATAGTTACTATGATGTGCAGTAGATCACTAGAACTTATTCCTGCTGTTTAACTAAAACTTTGTCCTAACCTTGAAGTATTACTCCCTCAGAACCTTTCATCACAACTAACTTACTATTGTCCTCACCTTTTTCTTTATCTTTCTTAACTTTCTTAGTTGAATGAACAAAATTATCACTAAAATCAGGTTTTATTTGAAGACTTCAGCAGATGCTTTGGTCTAATATTACTTTAGCTAGCTTTAGCAGAGTTTTCATTTGGCAGTTTTCATTCTGAAATATTCTTACCTATTTGAAAGATAAGCAATAAAGCTACGTTAGGTGATAATACATGAAGAATTTGGTGTTTTTTTCAGCTTTATTGCCTGGTGTTTAAAACTAAAAACAAAATTTGAGGGACTTGATTTTTCTCACTACTTTGTGTAAAAATAAATAAAAACAGGAAATTTTTCTGTGTGATTTTATTTAAGGAAAACTTATTCTACAACCTTTTATACTTAATGCTTCCAGTAAATATTATGAGTTTTTAAGCAAAACAAAACCACAGCATTTAGCATATAAATAGAAAGACAAAGTACATATAAGTTGTGGGATATAATGAGTAAAACAGTTTTTTAATTTCAGTAAGAGCATAAAAGGGAGAGAGAATTTTGGTTTACAACTTGAAAAGGAAACTTTAAGCAAAACAGGGCCTGGTAATTTTAAGTCACATCTCATTGTAATTTCCCAGACTGCTCAGTATTAAAAAATAAGAAATTTTCTATGTGTACTAATTGGGGCAGAATCACACTTACAAGATTGTAGGCATCTTGAGGGTAAGAACTTTATGTAAGTTGCTTTGTTCAGGTAAATGTTATAGTCAAAAGATGTTTGTTTCTTTTCATGAAGATAGAATTCTTTTTTTTTTTTGAGACAGAGTCTCGCTTTGTTGCCCTAGCTAGAGTGAGTGCCGTGGTGTCAGCCTAGCTCACAGCAACCTCAAACTCCTGGGCTCAAGCAATCCTTCTGCCTCAGCCTCCCGAGTAGCTGGGACTACAGGCATGCACCACCATGCCTGGCTAATTTTTTCTATATATATATATTTTTAGTTGTCTAGATAATTTCTTTCTATTTTTTGGTAGAGACAGGGTCTCACTCTTGCTCAGGCTGGTCTAGAACTCCTGACCTGGAGGAGTCCTCCTATCTCAGCCTCCCAGAGTGCTAGGATTACAGGCGTGAGCCACCGTGCCCGGCCGTAATATTTGTTTTAAAAGTAGTGGTCAGGATTTTGGAAGTATTTTCATGTTAGCTACACCTGTCTCAACCAGGTTGTTCACACCTGGGGCAATTGTGTTAAATTTGTTGTTGTGTAGAGGGAGGAAACAACTTCATTAGGTGAAGTGCAGAGTATGTTGATCACAGCTCTTTCATCTAGGGATTAGAAGTCTTCTTCCCTCTTCTCCCTCCACTATGCCTATGAATCTGCAAAGCAATCCCATAGCCCTAATCTACATGCTATCTTTAGCTGAAAATCAAGCTCAGAGAATTTGCTGTTTGTGTTGATCCTTCAGTTAATTGTGCTAGTCCAACAGCATTTTACATACAAATTGTGGTAATGTGGGGATAATTGGTACATTAGAGTTATTTCGTGGCTCAGGTAAATTATCATTGCTGAAAGACTTAAGCTTTATGTCCATTAGAAACTAACATGAGTGCTAAGTTTTATCTGTTTTCTACAGGTTTGAAATTTGCAAATGTCTTTGATTATGTTATAACCAAATGAAAGGGTACTTGACATGTTTTTCCAAAATTCTCCTAAAATAATCAAGTTTATATGACATGTAACTTGAATTTTAAACTCATAAACTCTGTGTATTTATAATAGTTGTACTTGTTCCTAGGGGCCACCTACAGATGCTCCTGCAGTGGACACAGCAGAACAAGTCTATATCTCTTCCTTGGCACTGTTAAAAGTAAGTAATGAATATAGTTACTTGCTTAGAGAGCTCTGTGGCTTTCACTGCATCTTTTGCTCAGAATATTTGTCACCTTAATCCTTTCAAACAGAAGCTATTGTTTTAGGTGCATTTATAAAATAGAATGTTTTATTTTCTCCGAAACAAAATTAGTTGGGTTTTTTTAAGAGGGACCAAAGAGCTCAAAGATACATTCTTCTTGCCCACGTATCTTCCTCTTTACAGATGTTAAAACATGGCCGTGCTGGAGTTCCAATGGAAGTTATGGGTCTGATGCTTGGAGAATTCGTTGATGATTACACGGTCAGAGTGATTGATGTGTTTGCTATGCCGCAGTCAGGAACAGTGAGTACTTTATGCTTGCTTGCTGCAAGTAACTGCTTCTTTTTGTTTTTCTTTTCCTATGCAAAATAACTTTAATCATATTATGTTTTCTCTTTCCAGTAGGAAAAATTAATCATAAGATTAATGATAGAAATTTTTAGATTGTATTGAATTAAATCATTAATCTTTTAAATGCATCATGAATTCTTATATGTCTACAAACTTAATGATGCTAATGCTAAATCCTTTTACTCATTCCTTCAGCTTTAACTGGCATAACATACTAGATTTAAAAGGTATTTACCCTATAATAGCAGGGCATTTGTTTGATTAGTTTGAACACTTGGTTCAAATGATTTCAGAGATTATCTTATTTAGATTTTTAATTTACATACACTAAATTTTTATGTTTGGTTTTCATCGTTGAGAAATATGCCCTTTTAAAAAATGTTCCTATATATGATGAATGACTTTGAAGCTTTTCCTATTAAAAATGTTAAGTTGTAAAAAAAGTGAAAAACTATGGTGAACCTTAGTTCTTTTTGCCCAGGCATGGTAATTTGTTTATATGAATCATATTCCATACAGATTTTGAAAGGCATCTACTCTATCTGTTCAGAATATATTGTTCTTTCTAGAGGTTTTTGTTTCGTTTTACCTTTTTCTTTAATGCATTGGACTTGTGTAGATAAATGTACATTTAGATCGAAAGAAAATGGCCAAAAAAAAATAACCATTCTATCTACCTTACAAAAAAATTGCACACATATCCTTCTCACCTGCTTGCCTAGAAAAATATAATCTGTATATTTTTCTGATAGTTGCTGTTTTATTTGATATGCAACATTTCACTTATTGAGCCTTGTAAAATATTTGCCTTAAAGAAATTGTTCTCATAAAGCTGTTTGCTTTATTTGAGGCTCCTTACTATAAGTTTATTTAGATAAGTTTATTTAGGCACTAGAGAACAAATTATATTTTTAAATAATGCAGTATATATGTGTGTATATCTATATAAAGCATCTTAAATAGAATAGTTGTTACAGAATGCATTATATTTACAAATAATGTAAAATATGGAAAAAATATACAAATTTTCTTTAAATAGATGAGTTTGTTTAGGTAAACTAATTAGGATCTACTGATTGTGTCCACCTGGATATCCATTATATTTATTTTGTACATTTGGAAATAAAGAAACACTACATATTAACTAAAGATTTAGATTTAAATCTTAGACTGTTATTACTTGTATAGCTTTTCATGTCAAAATATATAAAACACATAATAAAATTAACTTATTACTGTTACATGTGGTCTTTATATAGATATACTCTATAGTAAATGGTCCTTAGGCTTTAATATCATTACTTTTCGACAATATAAAATGGAAGATTTTGATCCCCATATTTACTCTATATAGTAGAATTAGAAAGTTTTTCTTCTGGCCCAAGAGTTAGCAAACTTTTTCTGTTAAGACATGTCTCTGTTGCGTATTCTTCTTCTTTTTTTAAAACATCCCATTTAAAATGTAAGAAACCATTCTTAGCCTGTAGGCAGCAGATTGCTTACCTCTGTTCCCAAGGATGCACTCTCTATTAGAACTCAATATATACACTGTTTGTTTTGGTGGGAAGGAAGTGCTTATGTTAACTGGTTTGTTTAAGTAGATTAGATTTAGATTTCTGATGTTAAAAGAAAGCCTTAAAGGAGATATAATGACTGTCATCTATCACCAGAGAGATGATACGAACTCTTTTTATTTGTCCATGTTCTACTATTTTATTTTGGTTGAACTGTCAAAGTAATGCAACATTTAAGAGATATGGGTACTGTTTCTAGTGAGGAATTTTTTGTGATTGCTTTTATATTTGAGGCAATAAATTATTTTCCTTCTTCAAAGTGTTTATATCATTAAAAAAAGACTTGAGTCTGTACCATTATAATAGCTGGATTGTTGTAGAACTTGGATGAGACTAGTCGTAGTCCTTATCAGTTATCATAGGATGGCAATAGGAAGTATTATTGCCCAGATAGGTCTTACTAAAAGTCACAGTTAGTTTAACTACTTGGCGTTTCTGGTAAATACATACATAGCAATGGCCATAAATTCTTGAAGGATCTGCAAGTTGTCTTAACTCATTAGCTAACATCAGTTTGGTACTTGGCAATTTTAGAAGCTTTATTGGCATAAGATTTGTAACGGATGGTTTCAGTGGGTATCAAATACAGTTATCAAAACCTATAAAATGGTTTTGGTACCCCAAGATAATAGACATAGCTGGGTTTTTTTTTTTAGTAGCTTTTTGTTCACTTATACAGTTGCTTTTTCTCAAAGTTACAAAAGCTAAACATTTTTCTTTCTTTCTAAACCAGGGTGTCAGTGTGGAGGCAGTTGATCCAGTGTTCCAAGCCAAAATGTTAGATATGTTGAAGCAGACAGGAAGGTAAGCATTTTAAATGATCATTTAAAGAAAGAAATATTTTTAGAAACATACCTCAAAGTTATGGGTGTTTATTAATATCATTCCCAGGAAAAAAGGTCATGTAAAGCATCTCTTCCCTTTAGAATCAAAGAAATTTGCCAATCAGAGAACTGCCTCATATTAAAATTCTTGACTGTCACATAGTAAGCTTGGGCTGTAGCTTCCCTCTGTTTAGCATATGGAGTTACTGTCTAGTCACTTATAATTGAAAGAGCTTGTATGTTCCATGTATTTGAGAGTTGCAACTGAATGAGATTATGAATATTTAATTATGTTTGTAGGCATAGTTTTAAAGATAGACAAAGTATAATGCAAATATTCTAAAGTTTTTTTCCCTCAGACTAAGTCTCTCAATAGTTGTCATTCTCTTGCTTAAATTCTTCTACTGTGGAAAAAACTTCAAAATTAATGTTAGCAAAAGGCTCAGCAGCTGAGCAGAACAGTGCAAATTGGTTTTTGACTGAGTTCCTAGTTCTACTGCTGGTTTAATTGATATTTAATCCTTTCACAACAGTGGATCCTGGTGTCCATTGTTAAAAATGTACTCTGTGACTGGAAAATCCAACCCCCAGAGCTAAGGAGTTAAAGAGAAGATATTTACTTGAATGCTGAAAGGGTAAAAACTGGCTCTGAGAAAGTGTGGTAACAAGGTGAAAAACTGAAAGCCTTATCTACCACTGCTAATGTGCATCTCTTAATGATAGCACTCCTTTGTCACATATATTCATTTCCATGTTTTCTAGATAATATGGTGTATGATTTCAATGTTTCTAATGGTGCTTTTTCACACCTGTGTGTTTTCATCTCTTCTTAATTTATACCCTGTTAGTGTGTTGTTTCTTTTCATATCATAAATGTATTACTTGTTCTGTTCTGAGCGTCTGAATGCCCTCTTTGTTTCAGGCCTGAGATGGTTGTTGGTTGGTATCACAGTCACCCTGGCTTTGGTTGTTGGCTTTCTGGTGTGGATATCAACACTCAGCAGAGCTTTGAAGCCTTGTCGGAGAGAGCTGTGGCAGTGGTTGTGGATCCCATTCAGAGTGTAAAAGGAAAGGTAGAGTAGATTCTATCTTTATTGCCATCTACTGCCACATTCTGTTTATAGATACATTAAATAAAAATCCATTTTGTTCAAAGCAGATTCTTAATTACACAGAAAACCACTGTCTTTTTACTTTAAAAAACGAAAAACTGTACAAGTCAATAAATGTGTCTTGGTATTATTAGCAATTTAACTATTGAGATTTATTTCTACTTTAATCACCCTTTGTCTAATCATTATGAATGTTTATCTTTAAAGTTTTAAATTTCATAAAATTAGGAATGTTAAAGCATACTAAAAGCCTGCTAGAAACATTTCATTAATATTTTAATAAACACTGCTCTACCTTTTATTTTTAAATAGTGAATTTGGAATCAGGACAAAATTTTTAAAAATCTATTTAAAGGACTCTGTTTTGCAGACATCGTGCAGGACATATTCTGGAGGTGTATTTTCCAAATATTTTAGACAATGAAAACTTGCCCCAAAGACTTGGTGTCAACCATTTGTGTGTTTGGAGTGAGGACGCAGATGAATGATTAAATATGCTAAATGATTCTGAAAAGAAATTAACTTGCAAAGCATATTGGGTTATAGTTGTTCTTTGTTGAAATCTCTTTTGTTCTTGTTTAGTTCTCTCTCTCTTTTTTGTTCGTTCTTTCTTTCTTTCTTTCTTTTTTTTACTTCTTTCTTTCTAGCCCCATATGCCATTTTCCTATTTCCTGCCTCATGACAGCAGGGAGCAGCTCTATTATCACCTTCACAGAGCTGTCTGCAAATGTGAGAGGCAATTCGATTTTGCTCAACCACAGGGAGAGTGGATTAGAAAAACTACAGAACATACAGAAATTGGCTAGGTAGTTACTGCTTTAAAATACTGCTGAGGTGTCTTGTTTGAGCATGTACTTCCATTGTAGTGTAGAATAATTGTTAAAATCACAGTACATTTACGGAATCCTTTTTATGCAGGTTTTACAAATAATTCTTGGAGCACTTAGAAATAAATATTAGCTTGATATCTATCAGACCTAGAGTTTGATAGAAGTGCAGATTACATTTATATCTGCTCACCAGCTCAAACAAACTAAACATGGCTGTTAAAATATGGAGTTTTTATCTGCCATGAATTTGAAGTTGAATGTTTTCTGACATCATATTATTATGATGTATAAAAAGTGAGGTCCTCTCTAAATCTCTATTAGGTGTGATTTAGCTTTTCAGAAGCAGAAACTATCCACAGAAACAATAATAGAAACTGATATACTAGACCGTTCAAAATGGATAGCTTCTGTTTCTTGCTATATTTGCTATATTTCAATTTGTTTACTTTGTTTTTTACTAAGTGTATTGTTACTTAACTGATACAGATAAAAGCAGTTGAAAATCCTTGATTTTCATTAGTTTTATGAATTAAAATATAGTATAATACCTCTTAAGTTTAGTGCTCTGATCCTAAAGGTACCATTTTAGTAACTCATAAGTAATTCATTTAAGTAATACTTTTTATTTTAGAAATATAACAATTATATGTTAAAGCACCCCCACCACAATATTTATAAGTAATAACTGAAGCTTAATTTTAAATATAATTAGTTTTATTTTGTAGTTTTAGGTGGACTTAACTTTTTATTGTATCTGACTCATGTTATGGTGGCTACTTTAAAAGGAAAATATAAGCTTAAATACAATGAAAGAAAGCATTGTATTTAAGAATGTAAATACAATGTAATAAATTAGTTTGTATTTTATTTTTGGTTATCCTGTTTGTAATATTTAAAATGGCAGTTTTAGTTTCCAAACCTAGTGTAACTACTGTATAATATTGGAATTTGCATTATTTCTATTTAATGGTAATTTATATTAAAAGAATGAATTTCATTTAAAAATACACTTGTATCACATGACTGTTGACAATGTTAAATGTAGTTTTTAAAAAATAATATATCTAAAATTTATGAAATCATATGTATCACTATCTAGTTTTGTACGTCATAAAAATCTTATTGAAAAAAATTAGTATAAATATCTATCAGCGATGATTCATATCACTTGTTGTGACTAACATTTAGATTCATGCAATTATATCACCTGAAATAAGGATCCAGTTCTTTGTCAATAATGCAGTTTCATCTGTAAGGTATCAGAGTTTGGTTGTAATTTATGGTTCTTTCAGTGTGGAGTCCTCTCAACACTATGAACCAAATTAAAGGCTAGTAACTCCATTGCTAGAGTGTTCTAGTTAAGTCATTAAACTTAAGAATATAAACTTGTAAAAATGAAGCAAAACACAGGACTCTTCCTCTCCCTTCCCTGCAGGTGATTTATCGAAGCTGTCAAAATATTTAGTAAGGCAATGATTAGATCAAGAGTTGAAATGACAGTCTATATGTAGATGATTTAAGTTGGGTCTCTGTGTCTCTGTTCACTTTTTAATAAACCTTTCCTGTATATTTTTTATATTTCCATTTTTATAAATTCTAATATAAATTCTGCTCTGTTTTTGAGTGATTAGATAAGCATGGGTTCTTTCTTTGTATCTCAGTTCATTCACCATAAGTTTCAATTTCTTTTATGGTGACTTCTGTATCTTTATTGAATAATTGCTGTGTGCTAGGTATTGTAATCCTAGAGATAGGCACTATTATTATTACCTTTTATCAATGAAATATTAAAATAATTAGGGCCAAAGAGGTTACTTTGCTATAGACTATGAGTAAGCAGCAGAACAAGGATACAAATACAGGTCTGCAAAATTTCAGAACTCAAGCTTTTTTACTGGCTCTTTAATTCTTTAATATTAGACTAATATGAATGATATAATCGGAGTAACAGGAATAGAAAATGGAATAGAATAACACGAGCTCATTGCAGGGCCTTTTCTTAAGTTACTGTGGATAAGTGTCACTCCCTTCAGCATAAGTCAGGAAGACAGCTGTATGTTTTCTCTAAGTTCTCAATAGTTCTTTGTACTATTCATAGTAGATATTATATATATTCTGTATTGATTCTTTTCATGTGGTATTACTCTGTTAATTTGAAAAAACAATTTAGACTGACTCATCTCTGTCAGCTTTTGTGACATCCCGCAGACCGAACATTGAGACCAACATAAATAATGAAGTACACTATATGATAAAGAATCCACTGTCACTCTGTATGTTATACAGTATTCTAAATGTTTTAAGATGGTACAGGTGAAAATCAATGGTAATTGCATTCATAATTTAAATGGAGAGCAGGCTCATAGAAATCACCAGCGAGCTCTCCTTTAAACTAATCAGCAAAATCAGTTTTTCCTTTATTTGCAAAATACACATATTCAAATATTTTAAACTTCAGTTCTCAAATGTCACAGCGGCAACCTTTTGCTCAATGTTTTATTATCTTGTATATTCAGCCCACAACTGGATCCAGGAGCAAATTGAGAAGTTAATTCAACTTTTAATATGACTATACTTCTTCCTTAGATCAAAAAGAATGATCACTTTGGGCAAAAACATAAAACTAGCATATAACTTGTTTATGATATTTTAATGTATTTATTTAAAAGTATTATTGCTTTAGAGAACTCAGTTTCCTAGGCAGGATTCCTGTTGGTAAAATGTTCAGTTGTTACCTGCTAACTCCTAGCAATCATTTTATCAGTTCTCTGTTTTGAAAACATTAAAAAAAAAACCCTATTGACCATTTAGGCTAAATATATTTTCTCACTGGCCGGGTTTTCTTGAAACATTTTAATTTAGTCTGATCAGAAATACTCAATAGACTTTTAAAAATATGATGTTTATCTAATTGCAGATCAGCTCATCAGCAGGTATTCTTAAGTATACCTGATGTGCCTGTATGCTAATGATTCTGAGGTACAAAATAAATAAAAACGGTTTTTGTCTTTTTGAGGAGATTAGTCATATATATTTAGTATCACTAGTGAACAAGATAACATTCTGCCAATTACATACTGATATCCTACATTGCATACTGATACAATGCAAAATATACTGATACTGCTTGTTTCTGTATTAAGTTGGTTGCTAGAGACAAAAATAATTCAACAAAAACTTATTCAGAATCTTATATGTGCCAATATACAATAAAATATTCTTGTATAGCAAACACAGTAAATGCAAATTAAATTAGAAAAAGGAAAAAATCAGTATAGACTGCACAAAGTAGATAAAGCTTGGACTGAGCCTTGAGGGTGGGCAGGACATTACTCAGAAAAGAGGAGCTTGTATCATGTGGGAAGAATATAGAAACATCATTCCAGGTGGTACTTACCTCTTGGTTTATTCTTCTTTCACTGATAGTAGGATGTAAAATGAGTGGTTTTATTGTTACTGTTTTTTAATCTGCATTTTACAAAAGATGGGGCTTTGGAGAGTAAATGCAAATATAGGAGGAAAGTTAGGGAATGAATATTATAAGAGCTTACCTTCTATTTTCAGATATCTAGAAGATTATGTCTCTTTTGGGGGGTTGGGCGGGGGCAAAGTTTTTATTTTTCCAAGACATTTTGTTAAAAAGTTTTAAGATGGTGGAGGTTTTAAGCTACTCAAATAGTAGTTTTGTTTTAAGCCTTTTCTTTTCTTTTTTTTTTTTTAAGAGACAGACTTTCACTCTGTTACCCAGGCTGAAGTCCAGTGGCTCAATCATAGCTCACTGCAGCCTTGAACTCTTGGACCTGGCTACTTTTTAAATTTTTTTTTTTGTAAACACAGGATCTTGCTACGTTGCCCAGGTTGGTCTCAAATTCCTCCTACCTCAGGCCTTCCAAAATGCTGGGATTATAGGTGTGACCCAGCCTAAGTGTTTTCTTATTTTTAAAATATACTATATATATATATATATATTATTTTTATATATAGAGAGAGAGAGAGCGAGAAAGAGAGAGTGTGTGTGTGTGTTTGTGTGTGTGTGTGTGTGTGTGTAGGGTACAGGCAGGGCATAGAGTAACGAAGAGCACAAACTTTGGGATCAGGCCTGCATTAAAATCCTATTTTTATCTCCTT